TTCAGCAGAAGATGTCGCTCACGCTCTTCATGAAGCACGGGCTGCGCGTGTTCTTGGAGCCACGTCAACTCGAACCGCAGGCTGCCACGTCAGCTTGAAGAGAGTGTGTTTTGGTTGTGCTTGTGCACAGTGTAAAGGGCAATGTGGTCATTTCGTTGTTATACTTGTGCATTTATTTGTGTTAGTAATTTCCAATGTGTAAAAGTGAAATCGTTTGATGTTTGGTTGGGTGGGTGGGTGGATCAAATTTGGGTTTACCCTTTGGAGTGGTTGGAAGATGGGTTTACATATTCTTATGTTGTTCATCAATAATTTGAATACACAAATATATAAAATTATAATATAATCATTTATTATTTTCTATTTGATGGTGAGTGATTTGTTTGAAGGAGCATGAAGCTTTTATTATTATTATTATTGGAAATCACGTGCATGTAAGTATTTTTTTTTATGAAGTATTTGCATGTAAATCAAATTTAACTACTAGGGACACTATTCCGTTTCTTTCAAATATTAGAATGGGAAATTGACCATTAAAAGTTCAATAATACGAAATTACCAATCCTATTTCTATACTTTGATAAACTTGGTTGTTGAAAAATGATATTAAAGTTTATATTTTAGTCAAAAGCAATATTTGGTGAAGAATTCTTATTTCACACCATCAAAAGCAATATTTCACATTAATGAAAGAAAGATTTCATGCTATGGTTTAACTAAGATTAAAAGTTTTCAATACCAAAGATTCAGCTAAGGCAAAAGTTTCAATACCGAAGATATTTAGAGTGTATTTGTAAAACTGTTTTTTCTCCATTGAATGCAAATCCAACATTTTTCATCTGCCATGTTTACTTTCTCAAAATATGAGAAACAAGGAGTAAACTGACCAAACAAACACATTATTAGCCAAGAAGTTGAATTTCAATATTAAAAGTTTAGTCAAAGAGACGACACGAACACCATCACATAAAGGACTCTTTAGGCTTTAAATGTGTATAAACTTTAAACCTTTCGAATGTATTTTTTAAAATTAAGTTTAGTAGGGTGTGGTGTAATATTTTATTATGCAAATGTAGAGATTGATGTTTTTTTTAGTATAAATAAGTTGTCACTTGATGGTCTTAAGACAAATTATAAATTTTTGTTTAGCTTCTTGTGAGTGTTGTATTTACTTACTTGGTTCAGAAAGTTTGAAGTTCTCTCCAAGCTTTCTTGTATTCTTTGCTTTCTAGAATTTCTATTACGTACTTTATTTTTCAACATCTTTATACCTACTTTATGTTATCAGATATTATCGTTAAATTAATTCTTATAGAGCAATTTATCACTTAAAACAAACAATTACTATTATTTTTAAATTAATTCTTATAGAGCAATTCATCACTTAATCACTTTCTTAAGCTAAATATCATATAATTTTTTCTCTTTTAAAATTTAAATGAATTATTATCTATGTTTAATCCTTCTTTTTTAAATGAAATAATCATTCCACTCTTAAACACTTCATCTATAATCGATTTAGTAGTGAAAAGTTTAAATTATAATTTTGAAAATCGGATTCAATCGGCTGGTCAAACTGATTCGATTAAAAATTAGTTCTTAATCGATTTGTTTGGTTCAGAAAATCATTTTACTAAACCGGTGGAAAATAGGTAGAATAGGTCCAAAATCGGTAAAAACCAATCAAACTATTTTGAACTAGTCCAATAAAAAAAAATTTAATTTTTAAAATTTAATTTAAAACATTTTTAATAAAAATACAAATTTAATAAAAAATTATAAATTAGGATAACTTATTTTTAATACATATCTTATAAGAATAATTTAATCATTTATGTTAATTTATAATTTATAATATTTTTATTTTTATAATGTGTAATATATTAATTTGATACATTTTATTCTATATATACACTTATTATTAATAGACATTGTTATATTTTATTAAAATTTAAACTTAAATATTATATTATATTTAATTTAAAATTTTACATATATATTAAATATTAAAAACTTATAAATAATGTTTTGTTTTAATTTTTGTAGTACAATGGGAAAATAAAGACAAAATAAAAGCTAAGAAACATAAAGCAAGCCTCACCTATAAACATCTAAGACGCCAGGTGGTAAAGGAGTAATTTTTAATGTTATAAAATTGTAATATTATTTTATATTGATCCTTATTATTATTATTATTATTATCTTATTAATATTAATTTAATCAAATTACAGTTGAGTTATTAAATTTTAAATTAATATTTAAACCAATTCAATAACCGATTCAATTTTAAAAATATTGAGCTTAAATACACTAAATCCTAAATTCAAACCTGGGCCATCACTGTATGCAAAAAGAAAAAAAAAATTGGGGCTATTAAACCTATATCACTAATCGTACATTTAATGCACTGATTGTTGCACATTTTATGCCCCTCAGTTTCACACGAAAATAGATCTCTCCAATTCCCTTTCTCTTCATTTCTTTCATTTTCTACACTTTTTGAAAAAAGTAATAAAATAAAATTAGGAAGTTGATACATACTTTAAAAAGTGTGAAATTCATACTTTTAAAATTTTAGTAATAAAAGAAATGGAAAGGAAAAAAGAAATATAAAGAATCTTTTCTCGTTTTAAACGTGACATGTCAAATAACAAATTAAATGTTCTACAAGAAACCAGAACATTAGAATCATGTAAATATTAATTTGGTATCAGATGTTCAAATATAAATATTTATGTATAAACTCGTGTAAAGAAGACCAACCGTATGTCCAAAGAACCACAAGAAAGATAAAAAGGTATCAGTTGATGCCCATAAGAAAAGAAATCGAAGCATCCAGTAAGTAGTTAGCAGCAACACTTACATTAGCAACTTATTTGACCAAAGGGATGCAACCAAAACAGGTAGATAAGAAATTGGAAAGACAAAAGAAGCTTGATGAATGATACATAAATCACTTTTCTTGATGAATTGTTACAAAATTGATGTGTTGGTATGGAAACTATATTTACAAGTATGATATTAAATTAAGCAACTACTATGATCTTCCCACCAAAAATGGGAAGAAAAAAGACAGAATCTTAGACCTTTTCCCTTCATAAAACATCAGGAACTAAATTATGCCAATTCATCTTTCAAGGATACTTTGTCACCCCTCCGATCAATGTTCAATGCTCCTCTATCCACAAAATTTACCATTCTGTGAGGCACAAAAGCCTATGTGATTTGTGAAATGAGTTGCTCCCTAATTAAACCACCCTTTCTTCTCGTAGTTCTTCTGTGGGGAAGCACTCAAGGCTTATCTATATACACGTGGCATGACAAGTACAATGATCAATGAGAGTAAGTTATTCCAAGACCTTTTCACCAGTTGAAAAAAGATTCCACACCACAGTTCCAACCAAATACAACCCAACTGATACCTTGAAAACATCATCCCAGGAGCCTGAAAATATTCAAAGATAACAAACACTATTATATTCTTGTGCCAAAGATCAGATTTCAATGAAGTATTAAGCAAATGTTATGCTACAGATCTTTATGTAGCATTGTGTAATTGGCTACATGTGAAGGCCAACATGTGCTCAAACCACAGCCTTGAATTTATTTTATTGACTTTAATTCCATTCTCACCATCAAAATGAAAGCATAAAGAACTACGCTGTTGCTCTAAATTCTAAAATAAAAGTTGATATAGGATTTCTGGGACAGTATTCTAGAAATTAAAGTATGAACACTACGCCGTGTTCCTTAAAAATGGAAGAACCAAAATCAAAAAGGTCATCGAGACTCTTCACTTATTGTGCACAATTCAAACATATACTCAATCTTCAGTATTAAGAGATGTAATAAAATCAAGGCTTAATTATGTTTTTAGTCCTTTAAATTTGATGTATATATTATTTTTGATATCTAAAATTTAAAACTTCCGTTTTTATTCCGTAAAATATAAAAAAGAATATGTTATTTTGATCCTTCAAATTCAAAATTTATCTTTTTGGTCTCTCAAATTTAAAACATGTACTTTTGGCCCAAAATATAAAAAATTATTATTTTAGTCCCTCTATTCAAATATCATTAATTAATTTGTCTTACAAATTTTTTTTACTAGTGTTATTATTAGTGAGAACATCATATTAGACCAACTAAGACTATAAAACTGTACTAATCTGCCACTATCAATTATGTTATTACTAATACTACAAAAATTTTTTAATCTATCACTGTAAATTATATTATTACTAGAGACATTGTCACTGAAAACATCATATTAAACCAACTTATAGTACAAAACTATCTTAACCTGACACTGTCCATTATGCTATCAATGTGATAGTGGCCATGATGGACTAAAATGACATTTTAATTTTGAAAGACTAAAAATTTGAGGGGCTAAAATAATAATTTTTATATTTTGAGCACTAAAAATACATGTTTTTTAAGTTTGAGATATCAGAAGAATATAAACAAGAACTAAAATAATATTTTTTAAAAATTTCAGGGACTAAAAACATAAATTTTAAATTTAAGAGACCAAAAAAATAATCATCCTAAATTTGGAGGACTAAAAATATAATTAAGCCTAAAATTTAATACTTCACCAAATAGCTTAAACAAGCTTTTAGCATAGTTAATCATGCACATTCAGTAACCAAGAAAATATGAGCAACAAATACTTACCATGTTGCAGAATGTAACCTGTTGCTGCTGTTCCAAAGACACCAGCCAATACTCCGGCAGTATTGGATAGGCCAAGCAATATCCCCTGAGGATAAAAAGAAGAAATAGATTTATAAAAAAAAAAAAAAA